TATCATAAAATGAATAATTCCTGCCTGAAAATTGCCTCCAAAAAAATATTTATTTCTTATGGGGTATAGACATTAATAAACCTGGCATAAGTTTAATGTAAAATTATCATGCTACATGGGAGTTAGCATCAGTATGGAAAAACCCTAACTAGGCCTGAGGGAGCGGAGTCACATTCTTACTCCGCCCTTGATTTGTTTACAACTGGGCCAGTGCCATTTTCAAACCTGATAAGCAGAGAGTGTCCTACAATGCTGCCTAACTTTTCTTGCCTGTCCAGAATTACCGTGCATTGAACTTTACTATGCTCACGCAATTATTATACGATCATATAAATTACAAGCGCTTAAATTATAATAGTAACCAAGGTACATAAAAATCACATATGGATAAATTTTAGCACCAATCTACTTCGTATCACTAGGAGAAGGGTAATATTTAACAGAGATCTACAGTAAATCTTTTGTAAAGAACTCTTGTAATAAATCAATTAGACAATTTACCTATTTTTATTCATGCTTTTTACTTACAAAACATTATGTTACTTATAGGCAAGGATTTTATTCTTCATATGGATGTTTTTAAATTAATGTCACAAAGTAAGATAACCAATCTTATTTTATGGTTATGGTATTAAAGATTCTGATAATACAATAAATATGAGATAGAGCATACATTTATTGAACCACCAGTGTTCTAGAACTACACTAACACTGGGATAGGAAGAAACATAAGAGTAAAATTCCTGTCTTCACTAGACTTACACTCTAGTTGGGAAAACAGACTCCTGTATACAAACGACATAAATATCATTTTTAACTTGTTCAAAATTAATGTGTAATTTTAGTTACTACCATGTAAATCTGCCACCCCAAAGTTATCAAGTACATGGCAGTAAATCTCAATTAATATATCATCAGAATAATATTAAATAAAATTGATTTCATCTCAGCAACAGATCTTTGTATGGGTATATCGCTCGATAAACAATGCCTTTGCTTCAGGATAGTTCCAGGAAATTTTTCAAGGATTATGAACAGGTGGTCCAGACAGAAGTAGTAGCATGGCCTCCAGCCAACAATAATTACAATCAGGACTTCTGATCTTTCTGTCACCCAACTCCCCACCACCTTCTTAAACAGCTGCGGAGGGATTTCATGCTACCCGAAAGAAGCAAATGACAGAAAGAAGACTGTGTAAGCGGCGTGTGGGTGATGTACTCAGAGAGGAGTTTGGTTGGTTGAATCGCCAATGCCCAAAGGAAAAAAAGCTTCAACTTATACCTACCTAATACACAGACATAATGGCAGTAGGCAAGAAATGGATTCACCGTAGGGAAGGGGGAGAGAGATTTAAACATCTGGAGGAAATATTAGAAGCCCAGATAATCAATTGCAGAGCGCTGCCAAAAAGCATCATGTTGAAAGAGGCCAGGGTGATACAAATGAGTCTCAATGTCACCAGGCAACAGAAAGGCAGAGTAACTTGAGCTGACAACGCTGGGTGCTGCATTATGACGCACGGGGTCCCCCGTCTGGAACAAGCCGTGATGGGTGAGGACACATCTGGAATACTGAGTACATTCTTTACACCATTAACACAAAGACACTGAAAACCTGGAGGGAGTTCTGAGGCAAAAAAACAAGGACTATAAGAGACTTGAAGGAATAGTTTACAAGGGGAGGATAGCAAAGGGTAATAGCACGGCAATGGGTAGAAACAGTGCGAAATAACCTAACAAGTAAACAATTAGAAGGACAGAAAATGACTTGACATGGAGAAATAAAAAAAAAAAACAAAGTAGCAGAAAAAACTTTAAACTAATTAAGCAGGAAAATGTGAGCCAAATGGAGAATTTGTTGCTACAAAATAAGTCACTGGGAAGAAAGTATGCAACCTCTCAAGAGATGTGTTCGAATGCACAAGTGTGGAACCTCTAAGAGTAAGATTTCCTTACACTGCAAATGGTAAAAATTTAAAAACCAAAGACGGAGTCAAAAGGATGATGAAAATGGTGGTGCTAATAATGATACTAGTAGCAGCAGCACTAAAGAAGCCCTTGTTGGGCCAGGCACTGTATTCAGCACTTTAATGTGTATTAATCATTTAATCCTCGCAACAGCCTATAGCCATTGTCATCGTCACCCTCAGGGCTTTACAGAGAGAATGGAGGAGAGAGAGGGTAAATAGCTTGCCTGTGAACAGACCGCTAGAAGTAACCGAGCCAGGATTGAACCCAGGGCAGGCTGGCTCTAGGGTTTATATTCTAAACTGCTATGCTCTGTTTTTAACGAAAGGAGAGAAAGTGGGAAAACCCCCAGAAATGAAGAGAAGCCAGATAGTGCTAGGCTCAAGGTTGTTAAGTGCAAGCCTCCTGGAAACAGTCCCTTCGAGAAACATTGGCGGGGGTGGTGTCTGGTCTGCTGCCCATGGCTTGAAGTCATGTTGCATTTTCGGAAAAGGAAAATCATCTTGTGATTCTATGTGGAAAGTCAGTTGTCCTAAAGACGAGGAGGCCCTGTAGAAAGAATTCCTACCGCATGTGGTCAGCCTGGAGGGAAACCCTGAGTCATTTGCTATGAACCCTCTGATGCTCGCCTACCCCGATCAACCTGCCCAAGCAGAATCCTCAAGCCGTGGGCTGACGAGCCCTTGATCGATTCATCAACAAATAAACATTTATCCGACACACATACGTTGCCACGTTTCTCAGACTTCGAGTCTGGCCTCTTTCAAAGAAAAATCTAGAAAACTTTCAGCTTCAGAAACTTCTACAGCTCCTTATGCTATGAAATATTTGGAAGACCAAATTAGCTTTAAAAATTATAATTCAAGTAAAAACGCCAACCTTTAAAAGTTTAAAACTGTAGAATCGCCAGCATACATTGGGTCCATGGCCCCAGTTCAAGAAACAAAAATGCGGAGCGCGGTACCATGTGGGAGGACAGAAGAGGGCTGCAGAGGTGAGGAGAGGCAACGCTTGCCGTCACAAAGCTCCTGGTCTCACGCGGGTGGAGTCAGAGGACACCTGGGGTTGCCAAGCCTGGTTGCCAGGGAAGGGGATGAGGCCACTCAGAGGACACAGCCAAGGGGTGAAGTAAATTTGAAAGGAAAACGGTTAATTCCATTTTGGACAATTGTGTTAAGGAGCAAATAAAACATTCACCTGGAGATACTCTACAGGTACAGATGCTCCTCAACTCACGATGGGGTCCTGTCCCGATAAACTCATCGTAAGTCAAAAATGTCATTAAGTCAAAAATGCATTTAATACACCCAAACTCCCAAACATCGTTAACTTAGCCTAGCCTACCTTCAACATCCTCCAGACACTTACATTAGCTCACAGGTAGTCAAAATCACCTAACACAAAGTAGTTGATAATAATGTGATGAATATTTCACAGGATTTATTGAACACTGTATCGAATGCATATTGCATTTGCGCCATCAAACTGGAAGTTGAACCATCAAAAGTCAGAGTCGTCTGTAGTTATATATCAAAGATGAAAGCAAGCTAAATGGCATACGGACACCAAAATGATGTACATTGGCTAAATTTAAGATTCAAAATTGTTTGCTCTAAGACCAATGCCAGTAAAGTGCCTCAATATTAGGATCTGTTTTTGTTATCCCAAGCCACTCTTCCAGGACCTACTTGTTGCTGTAGATAGAATTGGGGACAACCATAAAATGTGCTTGATGAAGCTGGAAAGTGGCTTTGACGTGGAAGGCTTCTGGCTGCCCACAGAGCATGGTCTCTCCCCAAAACAAAAGGTTCCAGCCTTATAATATCAGTAAGACTAAAACCTGCAGACATGTGTATGTATGTATAGGCGTGTGTGTGTGCATACTCACATACACAGACACACACACACATATGCCTGTACATACATATATAAAATAAAGTTTTCTCTAGCCATTCGTACTGGAGGGATTATCACACATTTAGGTTTACCCAGAATAGTGCTTGTTTATACCTGCTTTCCTAGTGTAATTATAATAATTACAAATAGCACCCTGTTTCTCTCTCAAAGGGTCCCAGCAATACATTTATGGCTACTCTTCTGATATTTGTAAGGTATTTGACGTCAAGATCTAGCCCCTTTTGTTCCTAGAATGCCAGCCTCCCTTTGTCTCTCCTTATTCCTCTGCTGTTGTCATCTTCAGCAGAGGACCAAATCTGTAGTCACCTGCTCAGACAGAACCAGTCAGCCCTATTGTACCGGGACCTCTCTTGGATGTGACATGCCAAAGTCACAAATATGAAGCCCTTCCAGGGTGCCTTTTTAATGAACAGCGGCATTTTCGTGACACATACTTTTAGTCTACTATAATTGTCTAAAAATTAGTCATCTATGGAATAAGTCTATGTTGACAGAATTATTATCAATAATAGACATACATGTTCATAAAATACACATAACATAAACACACATGACATAAAATACATGTGATATAAAAATGCCGACCACAGTTCCCTGGTTTGGAAAAATGTGTGCTCTCCGGATATGTGAAAACAAAGACAAGCTTTTCAATAGTGTTTTTATAATTCACAACTCACCATTAGTAAGTTAGAAAACTTTTTTATCAAAAGACTAAACTTTCAGTTCTCCAATGCTTGCCCGGTGGTAGCATTCCAAATCTTACACCGGCTAACCTCTCTGATTATAACATCACCTTAACAAAAGGGTATATTCTGGTTTTATTCCAGTAGGACCATAAGAAATAAATGCACCCAGAGTGCCATGATCATCATGGTGATATTATTGAAACATAATCCACGTATTTAGATGCTACTTATATTTGTTCAAAAGAAAAATGTGTGTATTCCATTCTGCCAAAGGATCAGAATCTTCCACTAATGTTATTTTGGCATTTACTGTTACCTAGGTTAACTTTTGTTTTATCATCTCTCTTGCAAGTTGTAATTTCATATTTTTGCATTTATTTATGACTAATTATTTCTCATGAAAAAATAATCCTTTTTTTTCCCATTGCAGCCTTTTTTGGAAAATACCTCAATGAATATAATGGCAGCTACATCCCTCCTGGGTGGCGAGAATGGCTTGGATTAATCAAGAATTCTCGTTTCTATAATTACACTGTTTGTCGCAATGGCATCAAAGAAAAGCATGGATTTGATTATGCAAAGGTAATTTTCAGGCACTTTTACACTGCATCAATTTACTTTGTGCATAATGGGGAAAAGCCATTTTCAATGAGTTAAACTATCCACAAGATTGGCTTTCTATGTTCTCACAATGTTAGCATGAGAAATTTTAAGGTAATTTTAAACTCTAGCCAAGAAAAAGACTCTCAAGGAAACTGCCTTTGTATAGTGATTTCCCCCCTCATTAGGATGAAAGGCAATCAGCCTTCAATGAAAGTATCATCAAGAAAATAATGGATCCTCTGCTCTGTCCTGTGATAATTTTTGTCGTTCCCCACCCCCCCCCGCCTCCCGGACTTGTCCATGTAATCAAATGTTCATCTTGTACTGTTTTACATTTCTTCTGGGTGAAAGTATATTTCGTCTGTGGCTTCAGATTTAGGCAAAAATAAGAGCAAATGAGTACAATAATTAAAGGTTGGAAAACCACATTCCGTGGTTTTACCCTTGTCTGACCAAGCTTAGTATATGTGACAAGGACACCTGCCCCATAGTATCGAAAGTCCACAAAAGTCTCCAAGGCTATCAATCCTAGGATTTCCAAACCAATTCACAGACACCAAAATGGACATGTCACAAGGCTCTCTGACAAAAGGATCCTAGATTTGACTTCAAAATTCACAAAGGTTTTTTGATGGCTATTTTTAAATTTAAAATTTTTTCAGATCATAAGCAAAGGGGAAAATATCTTTGAATGTAGCCTGCTAATTTGCCTAAAATATCCCCTTCCCTTCCGGCCATACTCATCTCTTTCTCATTTGTCTAAAGTCTAAACAAAGCAGAGAATCTGCTCTATCTAGCAACCTCTCCTAACAGGCTAGAACACTCGATAGAAACCGGAAAAAGGGAACTTGATTTAATTTTTGGCACATTGCTGGCTTTATGCTTGGCTTGATTTGAGCCCACGGGACTTCGTGGGAGATAAGGTGTAAGTCCTGCTCTTTCAAACCCTTCAGAAAACAATGAATGCAAATGAATTCATAAACATCGCTAATAGGCTTCCAGACTTATGAAAGTTGAGAGTTGCCAGGGACCTTGGAGGCAAATTTGAGCAACATCCTCATTTTCAAAGATGAGGGAAAATTGTCGTGCAGTGGCTCAGCCCTTCACCCCAGGTCTCATTCCCACTGGTGGATACAATGCTTGCATGCAAATGATGCAGACCACATGCACTGATCGCCACTGCCATCCTTTTCTGTCTGCGGGGATGCTTTTCATGCTCCTTTTCAAGCTATTAACCTTTCCTCCCCTGTTGTCCTAAGGAGAGCAAAGTAATCAAGAGTCCCTCCAAATACTAAATCAGCGTAACTTGCTCATTATCACAGCTGATTAAGTGTCAAGGACAACTGTGTCCGAAAAGAATATATATCTTTTTTTTCAGTGAGGAAAGGGATGAAACAGACACTTCCTTGGAAGGAGAAGGGGATAGCCATTGTCCTAACAATGACATGTGACACAGATGTCGTCCCTCTGACACTGCTTTTGCAGCTGTTCTTGTCCTTAAATCCACAACATGTGATTAGCCATGCCTGGAAGCCTTCAACATCGTGAACATTGCCTGGCACTTTCTGAATAAAGTTCGTACTGGAACTTCCAGGCCAGTGATACACACTTAGAGGAAGCAGGTGGTTTAATTTAAGTTTTCATCTTTTCTTTCTTTTTCATTCCGTTTCCTCCCTTCCCCCTTACGGTCTTGCATTACCCAGCCCCCAACCCCGACTGTGGGTTAAGTCATTTTATTAGCGCCGGGCTCTAATCCCAGCAGCTGTACTGCTTTAGTTGTGCAATTAACACAGTCTAATCTGCAGGAAATCAACCGCTCCCCATATTCAAGTGTTTCAAGTAGATTTTTGATCACATGTTACAGCTTTTCCCTGGGCTCCCAGACTGGGGCCATGGCTTTGATTAGTGATTATTGTGTAATTCCCACAGGTGACTTTTTAATTTGAAGAAAAGATCTTTTCTTGCATTTGTACATGTCTGTGTGCCTGTATGTGTGTGTGTGTGTGTGTGTGTGTGTGTGTGTTCTGCAACTGTAAATTTGAAGTGGGTGTGGGTGTTTCCTGCCCTCGAAGTAATTAAATTTTTTGCCAATGAATTACGCCAACGCAACCTGAGAATGAAATATGTATCCGGTGTTTCATGTGCTCTAGCACTGGTATGGCCAGATTAATCATTGTCTTGGGCAAACACGACTTTTTTCTTTCCTAATTGCTACGTTGTGCATTACTTAAAATACATTTTTTGCATGTTCCCCATCTAGCAACCCCAGACAGTAAGTGGCAGCTGATTTTCTCTCTTACTGGAGCTGTTTTGCTGCCTTGGGAGGAACAGTCTTCCTCCCTGCTTTAGACCTTACCTCAGTCATTCAATGAGTTGCTTCTGAGCAAAGAAAGCAGTTATTCAAATGTGATCTGATGAATGTCACTTTTTGTAATTTTTGTTTTGTGTCAAATGTATGTTTCAGGACTACTTCACAGACTTAATCACTAACGAGAGCATTAATTACTTCAAAATGTCTAAGAGAATGTATCCCCATAGGCCCGTTATGATGGTGATCAGCCACGCGGCGCCCCACGGCCCCGAGGACTCAGCCCCACAGTTTTCAAAACTGTACCCCAACGCGTCCCAACACATGTGAGTAGTAACCTCAGCCGTGCCACCTGCCCAGCACGGCCTCTCTGCCTCCCCTCACCCTTCTCGTCCCCTCTACCCTGTGTCCTTCCACGCTCGTGGCCAGGAACACCGGCTTCCACGTGGGAGGTTAACTAGGTTGCAGACCACGGGGCAGGCAGAGCCACTGCGCCTGGACCAAAGGGCCTTGTCTGGGTGGTTCTGTTAGGACTCACATTTGCAGCATTACAAGAAGCAACGTGGGAAGGAGAAGACGTGCTTAGGGCAAATGGGGGCAGTTTTTACCAAGAGTTCCCTTCGGTTGTCTTAAACAACAGTCATGGGCCTGATCTCATAATACTAATGATCTCGTGATATGCTTTTCATAGCAGCAGAGTGGAGACCCCCGATCTGGTTACAGAAACCTGGGATTGTTTTCCAGGCAACCCCTGTGGCAGCTTCGCCGCAGATGTGCACTCAGGCTTGCTGCAGAAAGCAGCTTGAGTGGCTTGCCCAAGAGGCCTTTTCAGGTCACAGCTTTAAAATAACCTCGTGTTTCCTTTTGAGAGGCAGGAGTCTTCCAGAGGAGAGGGTGGGGAGGCCCCCGGGAGAGGGCTGATGGCATGGCGGGGACGAGACACACAGCAGAGAGCTGTAGCGTGCCGGCTAGCCAAGGGCGGACAAGTCTGGATGCTTTGGCAGCTAAGAACACAATTTTGTTGTTTCCTCTGTCAACACGGTTTCTTCCCAGCCATTGCAGTCAGCGTGCAGTCTTGTCTGCCACACGGAGCAGCTGCGTTGGCTCTGTGTCTCCCGAAAGCTTGGCCATCAGAGAGGCAGGGAACAGAAAATTGATATCTGTTGCCTTTATCACTAAACCTCCAAAATTGGGTCTTAATCTATTTGTACTTAAATACCATCTCTTTTCATCCACACTGGTTGTCAGGAAAACCTTACCAAAATAGATATCCCTGGGCAACTTTTTTTTTAATATTCTTATTTTGGTACCTTATCGTAACTAACTGATGACTCCTGGTTAGTGGCATATAGCTCATCTCTATCGTATCAAGTGATTTAGACTAGAGAGAAGTAGGTCAGAGCTGACTTAGGCCGGGAACCAAGAATACATTTGAAGCCAAGGTGGGTAACCTATGGAGCATGCCCAGAAACTTAAAGGATGGAAGTGTTTTAATGCTAAAATATTGCCAGCACATAAAAAAAGGTTGTCCTAGCACCTGAAGAATATGGCCTGGATGAGCCATTGTGTTCTGGAGTCAACCCCCTGGCAGATCGTTTAAGCTTCTGAAGATTCGGCAACTAAATTCACGAATGAAGCCCACACGTGGCAAGTGGCTATCCATTAGAGCTCACTTACAAATTTAGTAGGCAACTGATTCAATGAAAGGAAAAAGTCTTACGAGTTTCTTGAATACCCTGAAAGCCGCCTTTTCTCATTTCTGTTGAATAAGAAATCACTTTGTGTAGCTTCCTTTGTTGCATTAGCAGAATCCCAGCCTAAGGTGACTTTTTACAACTGTAAACCTTACAAGTGTTTCCCTGAGGTTGAGGAGGGGTTGACAGAATAGGGTGTTTTATGGCTCCTTGAAAATCAGCCTGCCTTTGAAGCTTCCAGGCAAGGTCCTCAGCTTAGGGGGAAAATTAGCCATAGGTCAAGAGCTTCTGACATTTCTGTTGCATGTATAGACAATAATCGCATAAGGAGAGGAGTCTGCAGAGTTCTCAACAACAGCTTTTAAAAGAGGATCTCTGATTCCAGCAATTGAAAACGCCATTGAGCTCCACAAATATATAAGGATTTAGTGTCCCTGTGGCACGCTACAGCACAGCAGGGATACGAGCATGAGGAAGGCACAGTTGCTAACAGTTAGGGACCAAGAAGCTAGGACAGGGGTTGATACACTGGAGCCCGCAATCCAAATTCAGTTTGCCACCAGTTTTCATTGATCAAATTTTTTGACGAGATTTTAAAATCGAGAACAAGCATCATGCTACCTGCTTAACTTGGTCTTGCAGAGTCACTAGCAATTTGCATGGTGGGGTGGGCTGGGGGTTTCTGATTTTTGTGTACCAGGCTTTTGTTTCCCAGGAACACTTCAAAGGGCTGCTGCTTTGCAGCCTGCTCCATATCTAAAATTCTAGCTTTTAATTTAATAGCCTGCATTTTTTTTCTTTGTGATCTAAGGAGAGAGTGTGTTATTATTCTGCAAAATCTTGAGATGTAGGATCCCACATGTCTAAACTTTGTTCTAGAAAATGAGAGCTGATCAATTATGACCTTTCAAGCCAGCGGGAGGGAGATGACTATCAGGGAAACAGAGCATCTGCGTGCGCCATATAAATGGGCAATCGTGTGTAGCACTTTGCTAAACCACTGCATTTGCTTCGGTCCCTGCACGTCATGAACAGAAACGGAAAGATTATGAGAAAACACGGGGGAGCACCTTCACCCAATCTTTGTGACGACCCTGTGCTGCCATCCGGAGGTGTCCCCACCGGCACAGTATGTTGCAGCACTCCAACTCACCAACAGGACTCTCTTCACCTCGTAGGACAATGCATGAACTCGAACTTTTTGCTGTGTAGTCTTACACAACACTGGCTACAAACAGAGTAAGGGGAGAACACTTCTGCCCATTAACCTTTGATAATACGTCTAGACACAGGAAAATGCTATTGTGTAATGAAATGCACAACGTTCAATGATCCTAAGGGCAAGCAGTCTAGCATTTCTCTTGTCTCAGTACTCTATTTTTCCATTGCTCACGCTTTTTTAGTCTCGAACAATGTAATCGTGAACAGATCCACGGAGAAAATGAGACATCCAGTGGACAAATATCGAGTACTTGTTCTCATCAGACAACCTGCATGGAATCTTCCAGTATGAGCGCCCCTGTCGATAGGCAAGCAGAACAACGAAATTTTGGTCCATAATATACCAACGTTGTGCTTAGACCCTTCTCTGTGCTGACTACTTCCAAATGCTAAGGATCCTGCACAACTTGAGGCTGTCTTCAGAGTCTAGGTCTATAACAAATACCTCCGCTCGTCATCTCAATCTACTCAATATTTTCAAACGCTTAGTACCTACCGGGGTTGGGGGCATAGTAGATATTAAAATTGTTTATTGAATTAATGAATACACTTAATGAATAAACTGATATATACTTATTGATTTAATTTATCATATATAATTATATGGATTTTTTTTTTTATTTATTATGGGCGCTGAAGAAAAAAACAAACAAATAAACGACTCATACATAAATAAATGGTCCCCTAAATTAATCATATTTGTGTATGCCACAGTGACAGATGGCCTATAGGATACGCTGAGCATTATCGATTTATGGAGGGAACCAGTCATAACTCTGCGAGCGAACAAATACGCATGAGTCAAACTATAAACAATGAATCAAGAGGCCTCCGATAATTATCAGGACGCGTATCCACCAGGCATTAACATTTTTTGTGTTAGGGAGCACGTCTTCTATATTGCTCAATACATTCTCTCTTTTCTTAAATTAGATTAATTCGAGATGTCGCAAAGATTATACCTCGTTAGTGATTCCGCTTGTATCTCAGCTATACCAATTTTCATAGTTCAAAGGTGATGTTATATGAAAGAGCATGCTTTCCGTCATACAATACTTGTCCCACTCCAAAACCGCTGATAATAGTCACTTTGTGTGACGTAGCTATAGCATTTTCCTTATTCCGCCAACCTCTTCACAAAAGATACTACTCTCCCTCTTACTATCATCTTATTATTTTTCTTTAGGTCTTTGCTGACAAAATTGCTGTCTGCTCCTTACCTTCCACGATCCATCCCCTGTCCAATCACTTTATCTCCCCCTCTCCGAGTTATTCCTCTTCCACTCTGTAAGCTCCGACTTCATTACCTTACTCTGCTCCCTGATTGTCACATGAGACTTCTATAATTTATTTCGAGTATGTCCAATGCTCCCCACATTCTGGCTGGGACTAGTGCGCTTTCAGGTTCTGACCATTCTGTGTTAAACAGGCTGTGGTGCAAGGATGGTGCTCAGTAAACATATTCCGTCACAAGGCAGTTATGTAAACAGGGCTGCTATCTGGCAGGAAGTCGCTGATGGGATACGAACAAGGCTGAGAGAAAAAGTACTTTGGAGAGGACTGCTTTGCAGGGAACAGAGAATACATTCCCAATAAAAAAATAGACTCTTGTTTTCTAATGTAGACAGGCTTTTTATAAATACAGAAGTCACTGGGAGAAATTTAAAAAGAACATGATGACTGAGTCGCAACTATGATTAACTAATACTGTACTGAGGGCAACCACTTTTTCATTTCGTGTTTTTAACATTTTATTTCTTTAAAAAGAAAACCAAGACATTTCCAGAGATATCAGAAGGCTACTTATGTCACAAATGTCATGTTACTTTTTAAGAATCTATACAGATCGTCGAGTTGCAATTATTGGTCTATCTAATAATATCATCCATCAACTTACATAATGCATATACACAGTATCAGATATCCCAGTTAGGGCCTTGATGTATATTACACATCTGATTTAGTGAGCCATTACACAGGTTTATTCACTCTAACAGGAGTCAGTGTGAGTAATGGCCGAGAGGAACCCACTTCGAGCAGTCCAGTTACTCGGAGCGCATTGGTGATCTCAGACATTGTCCTTAGTAGAATTCATTTATATGGATTAATGTGACATTGGGAGATGAGGGACGATATTCCTCATCTGGGCTTCAGTTTCCCACATGTAAATGAGGACGGTCACACTAATTCCATGGGACTCGACTAATTTGCAGTGCGTATCATTCCATAAATATTTATAATGTATTGAGGTGGGCACTTAGCGCGTTCGAAAGCTAATCCCGGTCAATTCATGGCATTGTGTGCCGCGCCCTCTAGCTTAGAATCTGACGTAAGCAGGATTAATACGTTTAATAGCAATATATAACATGTAGCACAGTGTAATATTATTTCTATTCATCATTATCCAATGA